ATTTCTATTCTTTTCCCTTTCAGCAGTATGAGCAGTGGTTTAAGGGCCACTTTTGTTTTTGTCACTCCTATTTGATTTTTATTTTTAGTTCTTGCATTTCTCTCCTTGTCTTTTTGTTGTAGATAAGTTGGGAGAATTTACCAGTTGTTCTGAGATCTAAAATGTGCTGCTTTGTTTGACAGCATCTCAGAGGAGTAATTATAACATAGATAACGATTTTTTGTGTTTTTAAGACAGGCTTTTCCTGTGTTGTTCGGGCTGGTCTTGAACCGTTAGCAATTCTCCTGTGTCATTCTCCTAAGTGCTGGGGATACAGGCATGTACCACCATACCTGGCTAATATTTCTTAAATTTAATATGATTTCTCTGGTGGGTATTAGCTTTTTAGAAAGGTACTCGTTAATTTCTAAAAATACAAGGTTTTCTAGCATTGACTTTTAGATTTTTCTAGCATATGTCTTCTTTACTGATTTTGACCTTTTAAAAATTATTTTTGAAGCGACTGATCTTACAAACAGTCATTATGATAAATCTTTAAAAATGGAAAAAGCATTAGGCCCAGTATGTGTCCATTTTTATATTCCATGATTTTCTGAGAAAAAAAGTATCTGCTTCCATCACTGGTGCCATGTTCTATGTCTGTCTCAAAAGGTCGAGTGTTTGTTTTGTTCAAATAGAGACTCCTCTGTCTGATTTATCAATTACTAAAGAGATGTGACTAGATGCACAGCAGCTTAGTGTTGTTCTGTCTTCCTCTTTGCCTTCTTACCAATACATAGTGATTCTCTTTGTGTTTGTAATCTTTTTTTGGCATTAAAATCCATTTGCGTATTAGTGTAGCTGTTCCAACAGTATTTTCCTTGGACATATTTCCCCATGCTGTAAAACAGCAACCACTCTGAATGGGTATGTTTCAGATGTATTTTTCACGTACCTGAATTAATTTTTAAATTTGAGATGATTTTTCACCGACATAAAAAGCGCATACAGTGAAGGGCACAGACGTTTTTCAATGGTTTGTTATATGTGTTGAATACATAGTAAATAAATTCATCCTGGGGGAATTGTTAACACACATACAATGCTTTTTACTTCTTCCTTGACTCGCATCGCCTGCATTCCCAGATCTCCTTCCTATCACTGTAAAGAACCAATTCTATGAATCACTGATTCTTGTGTTGTTTTTCTTAATCTCAGTTGCATTAATTTTTGCTTTGATCTTTATCATTCATTTCCTTCTGTTATTTTCATTTTTGAAGTGTTCATGTCTTTCTAGGATTTTGAGATGCATCAGTGGGTTATTTATCTGGAAGCGCTCTATTCTTTTAATTAACTTTATTGGTACATTTAATGTATACAGTATAATGACATTCATTGTTGCAAGTTTGTACCTTTATGTAATCAACTTGGTTCTTACTTTTTCCCCATTCCCTTGCCTTCCCTTCAGCCCTTCCCTCCCTATCTACAAAGACTTTGTTTCCATTATTTTTCATTTTCTCATATTAATTCCATTCCTTTTTCTTTTCTCCTAACTCTCCCATTTTCCCTTTGTTTTTGCCCCTTTTCTTCCTATTTCACATTATATACCTTTTAGTTCTTAATGACACTTTGTTTCTCACACTAGAGAAACTATTCAGTATTTGAACATGTGTGTCCTATTTATTTCACTTAAGAGTATCACCTCAATGTGCATCCATTTAGCTATAAATGCCTCTAATTTCTTGTGGTGTTTTTTGGCTGTGTAGTATTCCATTTTATTAACAAACCACATTTTCTTTACCCAGTCTCCTGTTGATGGGCAACTGGGCTGCTTCCAAGTTTTAGCTATTACAAATTGTGCTGCTCTGAACATGGGTGCACAGATACCACTGTGGTATGATTCTTTTAATTCTTTGGGGAACACACCTAGCCACTTTGATGAATTTTGATAAATGTAGTGATTATGACACCAACAAACATCATCACCGTGTCTCTTTGCAGTCATATTTACCATATTCCAGAGAAAAGTGCTTGAAGGTTGGAGGTGGAGCTCAATGGCAGAGCCGTTGCCTACTATGCACAAGGCCTGGGGTTCACTCCCAGCACCACAAAACAGAACAAAGGCCTTTTTATCACCACAGATTAGTCTGTCTTGTTTTTGAACTTCATGCACTGATGAATGTGGAACTCTCAGGATTCTCTCACATGCTGTGTTCATCAGTTAGGTGTTTATTCTTTTCATTGTTTAGTAGTGACGGATTGCACGCATAGAACATGATTTGTTTATCCAGCCTATGATTAGTTTGTTTCCAGTTTGTGACTATTTTTTACAGAGTACTATGAACATCCTTCTGCAACTCTTTTTGAGGATGTTTTCCTTTTCCTTGAACATGTAGCTATGAGTGGGCTTCCTGGGTTGTAAGACAGGCGTGTCTTCAATAACTGGCAGAACAGCACAATGCTGGCCACCCCCCCTGCAATCTTGGCTTCCTGAGATTCATGTCCTTCTGTAGTCCCTCCTGTTCTGCATGTGTCTGTGCTAGACATGGGCTTCCACACAAACTGAACGCCGCACAAGTGATGGTTTATCACTCTGAGGCTTGGATAGACAGACTGGTTTCCAAACTGGGCTTGTGTTGTCATTCCCTCACTGCTCTGGGAGCCAGGGGATGAGAACTGCTACGTCTGGTACCTGCCCCAAGGAGGGGCCTGAGCAACTGAGGGAACTGTTTGCCCCTGGGAAAATGGAGTCTTCAGACCGGCAGGCTACAGGGAACGGAATCCTGCCAGTGGGTGGCAGTAGTGGGTTTAGAGCTGGATCTTCCCCAGCCCAAACATTTGATGAATCCACAGCCCTGGCCAACAGCCACACTGCAACCTCATGAAAGACAGGAAGACAGAGGCATCCACCAACCCTGTCAGATAAGTGAAACACGGATCTCTGTAATATGATGTGTGTAAATCGGGAAGAAACCTAAATGATGGATAGCCGTGTCCCTGTGCTGTGAGCATATGCCAATTAGAGAAAATAAAAATTGAAAAAAAAGTGTTGGTGATTTTAAATTGCTAAGATTTGGAGTAATGTGCTGCCCAGCAATGGATGTAATAAGACATTTTCAAACCCTTCTTTTTAAGATTGTTGCGCAACTTTATATTCCTCACAATGATGTTGATCTCTTTTTTTTAATTATAGCCATTCTAGTGACTATAAAATGGCACTTGATTATTATGGTTTTCACGTCCCTGGTGAAGAATGCTATTGAACAGTTTTCTATATGATTATGGACTATTCAGATAAGTTTTGGGAAGGTATCTATTTAAATCCTTTGCCCAACTTTCTCATGATTGGGTTGTTTGTATTTTTGTTCCTGACTGGTTACGTATCTTGGATTGAAAACTATTTTCCATTTATATTTCTCTCACGTACTTTCACCCAATAACTTGTTTCTTAATTATTTAGCAGCATCTTCTGATGAGACCTTAATTTTGATCATTTTCAATTCTGTGCCTTTTTTCAGAAACTGTGGTCTACCTCACGTTCACAAAGATACCCTCCCGTGTTCTCTGCTGAAGACTGTGGGTTCCCCTTCATCTATGATGACTCATTAGACACAATATTTAGATTTTTTGGTTTTGTTTTGTTTTTGTTTTTTAGGTACTGGAGATCGAGCTCAGACCGTTGCACTTGTGAGGCAGGCTGCGGAACCACTGAGCCAAATCTCTGGCCCTCCCAATATTTTAGATTTTATATTTCAGCATATGACTCATCTTGAATTAATGTCCATGGTCATTTTGGGACATTACGCTTATCCAGCTGTTCTAGTGTCATGTATTGAAAACAAAATGTGTCTCTTTTGACCAGCACTGGTGTCTATGTTGAAAATCATTTAGCTATATATGGGAACATCTCTTTTCCAATGGTCTATTCTATTTGTCTTTTTGACTTGGTGCTAATCCTGAGCCGTGTTCATTACCGTAACTTGAAAGCAAGTCAAAAAACAGCATCAGTCTCTGAAATCCAGTTGTTTTGACTATTACAGCTCTTTCCCTTTTTCATATTAATGTTGAAATTAACTTGCCAGTTTCCAAAGAGTCTGTTGGGGTTTACATAGGCTGTGTTGAAACTGTAGACTAATTTGGGGAAGAGTTCATCTTAACAGTATTGTCTTTAATGGCTTTTTAAAATCTATCCAAATTTAGTACTCCCAGTTGATTGGCCTTTCTTGTGAAGTATCCTAAGTCTGTATTAATTTTGTAAAGGTATTGCTTATACAGCTAATATTTATTTTTATAAGTCCATATACGCTATTTATCACTTTATTTTTTTCTTGTATCATTTAGGTTTTTTGGTCTTATCATCAAAAGAACTTTTAATGTCTTCTTATAGTGAGGGTCTTTGGGGGCAAGTGGTCCAGTTGTATTTATCTAGAATAAATCTTTAATTTGTTCTCCTTTGTGGAAGGAGCTCTGGCTGGATGTTCAACTATACAGACAGTTACTTTCTCCGAGGAGTTGGAAATACTCTTTCTCGTACTGTGAGAAGTACTTGCTCTCCGGCTTTTTATGTTGGATGGTATGCAGTGGCACTCTTACATATCTAGATGTAGATTTTCTTCTTATACATTAAAAAATTATTTTGCTCAATCACTTCCAGCCTCATTCTGTAGCTCAGATTAGATCTTATCATTCTGGTATTTGTTATTCTGCCCCTACCCTTTCGGGGTCATTCCTCATATTTATTTTCACATTAATTTGTTTTTCTCTTCACCTGCATCTCATCATATCCACTGGGTTTTGCTTTGTGAGATTATATTTTCACTTCTGTAAATTTTGTTGTTATCTAATTTATTGGCTATTTTTACATTTCTTCATACATTTTACCTTTTGGTTAATTCTTCAGCTCCTTCCAGTGTAGTAAGCGTCTGGATTGTATATTGTTCCTCTGTTAATTCCCATAGCTGGAGCCTTGCAGGGTCTCCATTGCCTGCTGAAGTTCCTTACTTGCTCTCCTCCTCTTCGTACCCTGAGTGTATTTGCACTTTGTGACTCTGAGCTCAGACTTCTTGGGACCATGATTTGAGACCTGCGTGTAAGGTAATTTTCTCGAGGGACAATATTGATTTCCTTGTGTCCGTCGCTGGCTCCACCATCGACTGGAACACACTGTCATTTCTTTGCTTGAGGTTTCAGGCCCAGCCCGGATTCTATTAGGAATTCAGACCACACACTGAGTGAGAGCCAGTTTGAAGCCACCACTCCTTGGAGAAAGCATTTTCATTCCTTCCCACTCAGTGCTGAGTTTCCAGGCAGGTGACTGCCTTTGTAGAGCAACGGGAAAGGGAGTGGGGTCAGTGGTGGGAGGCTGAGGTGGCTTCACCCTTACGCTGGAATTGTGGCCTTTTGGGGTCCCAGTTCCACCTGTGATGCCTCATTACACACACTACTTCAGTGGACTCTTGATATCTGGTTTCTTCCCGTGGCCAATTAGGCCAAGGAAGCTGAGGCCAAGTTTCATCTGTGTTAGCAAAATCTGTCAAGTTCAAACTCTCCTTGAGGCGCTGAGCCTTCTGTGGGTTCCCACTCGTGTTTGGCCTTTGTATTCTGACAAATCTTGACTAGTTTCCAGCTACCAGTGCGTTTAAAATGTTTCTAAAATAATTAATTCCAGGAGTTTCACCTGTTTTCAGTGGGTGGGCTGGTCAGCGTACTTCACTACCGCTGCACTTGAAGATCACTTTTCTGAATTTTTAAAAACAAATGGGTTTGACATAGGATAATGAAATCACCTCATCTGTAAAGCGCGGCGACTTGTTCTTGTTACGACCGCTTGTTCTTGTTATAACCACAGCTACAGCAACTTTTTGAGAACTTTTCAAGAAAACTCTGTAGAAACTTATTAATTGGGGCCCAACTAGAAAAAATGTACCCCTGAGTGCTATCTGTACGAGTTCTTTGTAGGAATCTGAGGGAACTGATTGAATATCTATATAAGGCTGTTATCTTGGGATTTGAGGCTGGAGGCTGAAACCCACAGGGTAGGAAGGCAGGAATGAAAAATGAATGTGGTATGGGGTGGTGAGGAAGACACGGTACCTATCACAGGCTTCCTCCACTTACAAGTCTCCAACTCTGTGGGGGAAAAGCTGATGCCTTTCTCTATGAAGCCGCACGCACCTGGTCATAGCAGAGAGGCTGCAGCAGGATGTGACAGGAGCCAGAAGCCCTAAGCTTTTGGCTGACAATGACAGAGCAACTGACAGATCTCCCCAGTGCCTGGTGTGTAGCACTAACCATCCGCACAAAAGCAACAAGGCAGCTGCTTCCCCCTTTGCTTTCTGAGCCTCCCGTAGCCTGGACAACACAGAATTTTGAGAAATGTAGTTCTAGCTTAGCTAAGTTCCTGCACTATAAATCAAGCCCACCATGTCATTCCTGTCTGCTTAGGTTTGGACACACAGTGCTCAGTGGAACCAATTTCAACTTGTATTCTAGAAAATTGTTAAAATAAAATAAGCACAAGAAAATAGAAGAAACAGGCTTTTCAAAGTAGAGATGTTGTGCTTTTAAGTCAAACAAAGATTACTTTGAAACTCAAGATCATCTTTTGTTCAGGAGGCATTTAAATGTTACTAATGAACTTGCTGAGCTGCCAGAGATCTGTTTTTAAATCCCAAGTGAAAAAAATCTATACAGAATCTATACTCTAAAAGTTGAAGAAATGGATTTAATACTTTAACCTGAAAGGCAGTTTTTCTTAGAAAAATAGAATATTCTATCCTCAAGAGCAAAATCACTGGAATATTTGCTTGTATGTTAGGCAAGCCTGACTATTGCATCACATTAAAAAAAAAAAGCCCTCTTTCCCAGTGTTGGGCTTCTTGATTTATTTAACAAGCATTTTATTTTACCCAGCCTAAAGTGACGTAGAGCAGTGGCCTGTGTCCCAGACTGGCAGAGTCTAGGTTGGTTTCGAATGGCCATCAGGAATTAGCGCACTTATTTGGTCCACAGACATTTATTGTGTTCCTAATACAAGGAAGAATACAAGCTGACAGCTATAAACAAGACAGAGCTAATCGTTGCTCTACTTGGTTTACTGGCTCTTGAGGTACCTTACAGAAGTCTTTGCTTTTGGCATAAAGAGTCCTCGGCAGAGAAGCGCAGGACACTGCACGAACGCAGAACTGCAGATAAGGTAGCAGGGGGAGCTGGGGTTGGAAGGCTCAGATTGACAGCTGAGTGATAGGAAGCAGCGAGCCTTCTAACAGGGTCAGCACTCTAAACTGAGAGGCCAGCGTACTGCCCCATGCGTTCTGTCATTTTATAGGCTCAAAGAAATGCAAAGAAGTTAGAGAATGTGACCACATCCTTTGCAAAATGTTGTAAGACAATAAAGGATGCATATGGAGTGAGGGGTAGGGAGGCAAAAAGATAAAGGTCAGTATGGACTGATTTCCATATTGGATGATGACTCTGATGGTTAACTTTCTACGTCATTTTGATGGGAGTGTCCAGACATTTGGCCTAACTTTCTTGCGAGTAGTACTTCTGGATGAGCTTAACACTTGAATATGTATGAGAGTTAAGGAGATTTCCTTAATGAGGTGGCCCTCACCCTGTCATTTCATTTCCTAAACAGAACAAAGCTGAGTAAGAGGGACTTTACCTGCCAGACTACAGTGGACCCTCGAATTACGACTGGCCTGACATATGAACAACTTGGGTTAATTGGGCAAATGGAAGATTCGTCTGCCTCTCGTTACCTTCAGCATGTACCCAGGTAAACATCCAGATCTCAGCTGTATTGCCTCAGTTACAGCAAACCTTTGGGAACCAATGTAGTTCGTAAGTCAAGGGTCCACTGTACTCGGACCACCAATATTTTGCCCTGAGAGTGCAACTTATCTTCTGTAATTCTCAGGCCGTCAGATTAGGACTAGATTACACCACTAGTTTTCTGGGATCTTCCACTTGTAGAAGGGAGCATAGGACTTTTCAGCTTCTATAATTATGTAAGCTAATTCTTTATATTTGTCCCCTATTTCTGTTTCTTCTACAGATAGAGTTTTTCTGGCTGCAGAATGGAGAACAGAAGACACAGGACAAGAAGATTGAGAAAGAAACTAGTTAGGGATCTGTTATTGTCCAGGTGAGAGGACATGGGGATTTGGATTTGATGGTAGAAGGAGTCGAGGCTGATTTCTAATTGGTAAATACTGTGATCAGTGCCGCAGAAAGGGTAGAGTATACGCAGAATGCTTACACAGCGTAAGGATGTGCAGTTGTGAGTTTAGTCTTAAATAAGCTGAATTGGAGGTGTTTTTGAAATGCCAACTGGAAATGCAGGGTTAGAGTGAAGGGGTGCAGGTGCTTCTGAGTGTATTTTTGTACGGCTGAGTTAATGGCATGACGTACAAAGCCAAAAAGAAATATCTGAGCACACCAAATTGTACAGCGTGCCAGCTGACTCCTTTTGGCTGGTTAGACGAGGAGAGTGCACTCTGGGAATCTGTTGTCTAGCTCACTCACACCATAAACTGCATGCTACCGGTGTGAAAATTTCCGCTGAAATGTTCTCATCCCACAACTAAAAATAAGGCGCCATCCTGGCCAGAGTTGCAAGATGCTCAGCCTTCTGCATGTTGCCCTTTGCCACAGTTTCCCAGCCCCTGTTCGAAGAAGAGCTGTCTTTGGCCCAGGGGAAATCTGGTTGTGTCTTTTACATTTGTGAAGGGGTGAGGAGCCCATTCTCCCTGCGCTCATTTGCTGGCACTGCTCTGCATGCCTCTGAAACAGCTCCTTCTCAGCTCAGTTCCATTTGAAGCACCTGTGAAAGATGGGGCAGCATCTGTGTTCCTTTGTTTCTCGGTTACACTTGGATGTCTCATGAATCAGAAACCCCACAAAACTTTAAATGCTATCACCGGGTCTGTCTCAGAGACTCGGGGAATAATTTATTTGCTGTTGCCATTATCAGTTTGTTCTCTCTGTCTCAGGCTCATTTTTTGTTGAAATTGTTTTTGTTGAAACAGTGATTACTTATCCAGATTTCTCCTTTTCATTTCCTTCATCAGAAGAATCTACATTAATCACTTTCAAGCCTAGACAAGCTTTTAGATCATATTTTGCTCCCATCCTCAAAAAAAATGGAGACGATGGCTTTTGTTACTTTGGGAAGCGACCTTCAGATCATCTTTAAAATGGAGCAATGTAGGTGGTAGCTGAAATAGAAGAGAATCAGCACCAGTCTTTCCTAGGAAACAGTATATTCCTATCAAATACCTCTGTATGTTTTAAGTTTGAGGAAAAAATAATCAGGGAAAGTTACAATCGAAAGGGAACGAAAGCTTTAGCCAAAGCTGCTGGGAAGTGGTGTAAAGACGGAGCAGCTCTGGTCTATCAGAGGGGCTGCCCTGGAGGAGGTTCTCAGATTGGCTGGGAAATGTCCGTGTGGTCGAAAAACACCTGGGAGGTGTGAGTCTTGGCTTATGTCCCAGATAAATTAAGTCGGAATGCCATGGCTTCCACATACCTTTAAATCTCTCTCTCTCTCTCGAGATGGTAGAGGGGAACACTGACATAGAGTAACTTAGCAGACGTGTATATGCTACAGATCCTTGAGCTTTTGCATGCATCCTTAAAGCGACAGGGACAGAAACAGAATGCTATGATCGCGCTTCTGGGGGGACAAGGAACCCAAGATGCAACTACACTAAGTTCATGTACAGTCATGCACTGCTTAATGAGAGAGCTACATTAACATGGGGCTAGGTAGTTTCACTGCAAACATCAGTGTGCTTACACCACGGTAGAAGTGAACTCTTTAGCACAGCCCCTTGTGTGGAGGTAAATGTGAGATTTATTGAGCCTGCTTCCAGGATAACAAGACATACTGTTTTATAGTAAACTTTTTTTTTTTTTTAATCAGGAGGAGTACACTGTAAAAATAAAAAAAAAACCCAGTAAACCAGCAATAGTCATTTCTGATCACCATCAAGTGTCATGTATAGTACATAATTGTTTGTGCTTCTGTATAAGGGGTAGTGCTATAGCTTTCCTTACACCGTCATCACCACCAGAGTGGACTCATGCACTGAGCTCTGAGGCTACAACATCATCATGAGGCAACAGGAAGTTTTCAGCTGCATCATGGTGTGATGGGATTAGCATGCGCACATGCAGTGCATGGCTGTGTTTGACAAAATGAAGATGTGCAACACCTGCTTTGTGGACTCGTTGCATTTCTGTATTGCCTATCTCATCCTACTGTGTGTATATTCACATTCATAGATCAGTCAGGTGTCTGTCTGCTTTTCGCTGCACTGGAGATTGAGCCTGCTAGGTAAATGCCTTACTATGGAGCTATATCCCCAGTCCTTTTCTATTTTAAGACAAGGTCTCATTAAATCACCTTTGCAGGCCTTAAACGAAGTTACTTCTGCCTCTGCTTCCTGAAGATGTGGAGTTCCAGCATACACCAGTAAACCCAGCTTCAGTGGAACTCCAAAGGTATGTATTTCTAAGAAGATGTTTTTTGTGGCAACTTTAGAAATCTACATATTCCTCAAATATTTTTTCATTGTTCTGCAGTTCATTAGCTCTCACTGAATATCTGAGAGTGCAAAGTGTAATTCCTGTTTCAACAAAAGTGCTTAAAAATTACTCTCATGTTTCCTGCTACTTAAGAAATGCTAAGGAACTAGTTTTTCTTGTGAAGAACTTGATCTTTATCAGTATAATGGTCTATTTTAAAGAATGCTGAGATTTTGATTTTAGACAGTTTCTAAGAGCATGATGTTAGTTACTGTCACATTAAACCCTGTAGTCCAAATAGTTTTCAGTGTGAAAGTTCATAATATTCCCTCAGGAATGATTTTCCTGTATCCCTTTGACTCTTCTGTCATTAAGGTAGGCTTTCTCAGAGTTTGATTTGAAGGTGGCTCAGAGGCATTTTTTTAGATGAAAGTCTGCGTCAGGTTCCAGTGACTAATCTAGTGAATTAGTGAATCCATATTCCACACCATTCACCTGGTGTTTACCTGCTATTCCTGACCAGCCCCTCTGATGGAAGGAGGCAGAGGAGTTCAGAGGGGTTCAACACTAGCCAAGACCATGTGTCCAGAGTGGTGGAATGAATTCTGACTCATAGCCAGTATGTCTAGTACTTGTGACTGTTGAAAGACAACTTTACATATTGGTGAGAAATACTGTCCTCTAATGGGCTATATTATCTGGAAGTTTCATAAGTAAATATACTCAAGAGATAAGGGCAAGAATCTGGGTTATTCTAAAGTTTTTTAAAGTTCAGGTTGAAGTGAGTCTTCAACAGATCTGCAGCGAACGGACACGAATGATACTGGTCATTTTGCCCTGTGCAGACAGTGGGCACACCTGCTCTTCTTGAAATGCCTCTTTCCTCCTCACCCTTTACATCTCACATAAATGTCACCTCTTAGAAGCCTTCCCGAACTACGTCTTCTGTTATTCAGCGATATCTCCCTCATGTCGCAGACATAATTTATAATTATTCATCTGTTCACTTGTTTTAGTTTCTTACCTTCTCTAGATAGTACTACCACAGGTAGTACATATATGACCATACCATCGAGCAGCTTTTTATTCATTTCATTAGAAAAAAGACTGATAAAAATGATTTGATCTGTTTGTACTACCTGTGGTACAAGCTGCCTGGTGGGGCTGTCATGTGTATACCATCAATGGTATAAGCTGGTAGGAACGTGTTAATAAATATGTGTTGAATTCATGTCCCTCTTAGAATCTGTTACTTGGCATTAAATGCAATGTTCTAAGCAAGGCCAAGGATCACAAAAGGTAGACAGCACTAGTTTCTTTCTGCCCCTTTACCTTCTTTGTATGATTCGGAACATTTTAAGATGATTTTTGTAGTTGGGAGTCCCATTAATATTGTATGAAACAGACTGAAAAGAAAGTTCTTCCAGGGCCGTGTTATCTTTTAGACTTTCCATGAGGACAATGAATTCCCCTTCATAAATGCTTTACATTCTTCCTTCTCTCATCTAACTTATTAGCAATTCATGCTACCTTATAATCTTCCACTCTGAATTTCTGAGCTAGGACTGTGGGACAGTAGTTTAAAGACAGGCTTCAGACTCAAGGTGACCCTGTGCATCTCCATGTGGGAGAAGGTGTGAGCCTTGTCTAGGCTGAGTGATTTCTCATATTCTGTAGGAGGCAACGATGTCTTCCTCAAAGGATGGTGATGATGATACAATATGGAAATGTGAGTAAAGGTCTAGTCAAGTGTGTGGTGTCAGTGAAAGGTGTTAGGATTGTGTTCATTCAGATGAAAATTCAGTTCACACCTGTTCATTCTCTCCCCGAACTGGTCAAAATCACTCATTTTCTTTGTTCCTGCCTCTAATCCCCATTTTGCTTTCTTAACATTTCATCATCTACAAGAAGCATCCTGTTTCACTTAGTGGCCACATGATGGGCACTGCAATGAGCCTGACGGCAGGAGAGTAATTTTAATCCACAACATCCAAAGGCAAGTGAACAAAAAGGCCCTTCATTTGCCATGCTCTTAAAAGATTTATCAGAACTTCAAGGACTTTAAGAATATAACCTTGACAGCCTTTCTTTACAATGTGTCAATTACCTTTGCCTGAGGTCAAAACTGATCATAAACATTGTACTTTAGGAGTAGTTTAACATGGCCTTCTGAATTGTGATTAGAAGCTAAAATTTGGTAGTAAATCCTTTTTCTCAAAATCCGAGGTGATTGCAAATGAATTTACAGGCTTCATAGTTGTAGTTCTAGGGAAAATCTCCATGGTACCCCCACTGTCCCCAAATTACTACACTCTCTACATTCTGATTCTTTCTAAAATGAGGCAGAAACAATATATCTTATTTGAATAGCAAAGAAAGGATGTACATTTCCACATTTCAGGCTTTCATCCGAGTATTACTTCCTGAGTCTTTCCAATAAGACCGAATGCTCTCAGAACCACTGAACGACCCGACCCGGGCAACCCATCCAACTCCATGTGCAACACATAGTTAGGCTGTCGATTATTATACCTGGGACAAATTCACAAATTCACAAATGCTATTTGGATCTCTCATTTCAATGAACGCTCTGGCTGTGATGAGAACTGGAAACCCAGGTGACCCTGGGCTACAGTGCGTCACAGCCAAGAAAACACTCCATGAGGTATGGGGAGTCGATCCTTGGCACGAGATCTGTCGTGAGCTTGCTGTGTGGCCACTTAGTACAACAAGAGATTGTACTAGCAACTTCAAAGGTTCCTCCCTCTCTTAGGCCTTAAACCTCACATTTATCACTAGTGTATAGATTTGGGGGGGATTAATAGCAAATAATTATCCCGCTTGTCATGATTCATTGAGTTAAGTGGTCCTGAGGAGCCCTCTTTATTCTCAAGTATACTTTGCATTTCCTTGTTTATTGTTTGTACAGAAAACCCTGTCTGTGCAGACCCAAACAGAGGTGAGCTCCATATTCCCCCAAAGGCTAAAAACTGGAAACATTATGTCCTAACACTTATAGCTTACCAATATTCCGTCTGTAGTAGGCACAGTGCAGAGTATGGCAGAAAGTCATGGTACCATGATTGATATTATTCCCCTTTTGCAGGGAGGGAAGTGAAGCTTGGAGATCGAAAGTCTAAAGTCACACAGCTGGTGGCTGGCACTATAGTGGATAGTCCAACGTCAACCACAGCTCTCTCATGAGAATTGCTGGTTTTCGGGGCTGCCCTAACACTGCCTTTAATGATTTGGAAGGAGCAACTGTGAGACTAAGTTTTAGGGCTTTGGAGTAAATCAAATAAAAGTAAAATAAATCAAATATAATGTAGGGAGTACATAGTTGGGTTCGAAGACAGTTTGGTATCCATTTGAAATGAAAGTAAATGATCGTCTACTGCATATTAATTGAAAACTTCTATTTTTGTTCTGGCCATGAAATAAATCTATTGGTTAGCAAGCAGCCTTCACACTCGGCACGCGTGTGTGAACCATTTCAGGATGGTTTGCTGGTGAAAATGGTAACACGGGAAGCTTGAAAAACATTTCTGCTCATACAACATAAAATAAGCCAGGGCCTTATTATCAAAATGAGCCATGAAAATAAAAAGGCTCCTATCTATATTAGGCGGCCTTATTCTCAAAGGAAACCTCATAGTGTAACAATATGCTCTTCTTTACCCCAAGCTGCAAGGTAAGTAAAACTTCTCAGAGAAATCCAAGAATGATATAGTATGTATTGTATTTTGTTGTAAGGCATATTCTTTACACCATGCAAATATCTTTGCTCACAATAATGTTTATCAAGATTATTTATTATGGGGCATTAAAATAAATCTTTTTTTCCAATTACCTTCTAATGAAATGTACCAATTACCTTTTGAATGCTGACATATGGCTGTAATCTATTCCAGTGGGGATAAATCTTGCTTATACAAGGTTTCAAGGGCTCCCTCCTGAACTGTATTAATTACTGATGTAAACAAAGATAGAGGATGATTATCACATTTATCGATAAATCCTCAACCTCACTGCAGTAGAGTCCTCTGGGATAGACCACATTAATCATCAGAGAATTTCCAACAGTTACAGTGAAGATCTGTTATAAAGGGGATGTTTCTGCAACACCGCTGATATTGGAGAATATTTATGAATGTGGATGACTCCTAGGATAATGGTGGTAGAAGTCACAAAGGCTGCTGTGTACAATGAAGTGGAAAAAAATATGCTCTTAAGCAGCTGTTGAGCTACCTATTGGCTAGGAGAGGAGTTAGCATTTCAGGCAAATGCCCATCACTACTACTTCAGAACGCATTATCTGGAGAAAAGTGATGGAGAACCAGACGTCCACCAGTGCTAGTCCTAGGAAAGGGGCTCTGCTTCTCACAGCAGCTTTTCCTAAACAGAGCTCTTTTACCACTAAAGAATTGGAAAGGCTGGTGGGAACAAGGTACCGTGACTATAAGGTTCCCAGTTTCTAAGCAGAAAGGAAAATCTGGGAGCCACTGTGCTGAGACCACTTCCTTTCCCCTTTCATGCTTCCACGGATTTCAGAAGAGTCTGGGACTTGTCATGAAGCCATTCTTACATGTTTCAGATCATCCTTTCTTGGGAGGATAAAAGGGCTACTGAATGTAGCTGTCAACCCTCCTCACCCACAGAATATATGTTCCAAGATAGCCAGCCCCCTGCCACATTAGAGAACTGTATATACAGGTCGATATAAAATATTTTCAAGTTTAACCTCCTTGTAAGAGATGATTTTTATGATAAAGTATATCAGCTGTAACCACATAAGCGGTAAGTGAACATAGTCTCTTTTTCTCAAAATACCTTAATCCCTCACTGAACTATAGTCATATGTTTGTATCTCACTTGACCTCAGGTAAATGAAACTGCAGGTAATGGGGCTACTGTACTCAGAATAGCCAGGAACACTTCGATGATTAAAAAATATTAGCTATTTT